GCGTGCGTGTGTGTGTGTGCGTGCGTGCGCGCGTGTGTGTGTGCGTGTGTGTGCGTGCGTGCAGGTGTGTGTGTGTGTGTGTGCAGGTCAGAAGCCGCATCAGTGCAGCATCTGCTGGCGCTCATTCTCTCTGCGTGACTATCTGCTGAAGCACATGGTGGTGCACACGGGTGTGCGTGCGTTCCAGTGCTCCGTCTGCAGCAAGCGCTTCACGCAGAAGAGCTCTCTGAACGTTCACATGCGCACACACTGTGTGGAGCGCACCTTCACCTGCGGCGTCTGCCACCGCGCCTTCACCCACCGCACGCTGCTCGAGAGACACGCCCTGCAGCACCACACGCCCGCCAAACCACCCACCAATCACCTGCAGCAGGGCGGGGCCAGCGGACCCGGCTCCGCCTCCTAGAGACAGGGACGACCGGTGGGAGAGAGAGGAGGAGCAATCCCAGGAGCTTTAACACTCGCACACTCACACTCACACACACACACACACACACACACACACACTCAACACATTCAACATCAATTCTGTGTGTGTGTGTGTGTGTGTGTGTGTGTGTGTGCAGGTCAGAAGCCGCATCAGTGCAGCATCTGCTGGCGCTCCTTCTCTCTGCGTGACTATCTGCTGAAGCACATGGTGGTGCACACGGGTGTGCGTGCGTTCCAGTGCTCCGTCTGCAGCAAGCGCTTCACGCAGAAGAGCTCTCTGAACGTTCACATGCGCACACACTGTGTGGAGCGCACCTTCACCTGCGGCGTCTGCCACCGCGCCTTCACCCACCGCATGCTGCTCGAGAGACACGCCCTGCAACACCACACGCACGCCAAACCACCCACCAATCACATGGAACAGGACGGGGCCATGGGCGGGGCAAGCGGACCCGCCTCCGCCTCCTAGAGACAGGGACGACTGAAGAGAGGAGAAACAATCCGATTGAATCCCAGGAGCTTTAACACACACACTCTCACACACACACACACACACACACTCTCACACACCCTCACTCCCTCACACACACTCTCTCTCTCTCTATCTATCTCACACACACACTCACACACACACACACACACTCTCTCACACACACACACTCTCTCACGAGGAGAATAATATACTAGTGTCCTGTTATTTTGGAAAACCCTTCTGGAAATTAAAATTGAATTTAATGAAAAAAATTATAATTTAATAATTTTCACTTATTAATAAGTTGTGATTTTAATTAATTAAAAAAATTTTTTTTGAGCCACAGTTTGTTCATTAAACAAGACCTCTGGGTAGTTTTTAATATGCATTGAGTCACAGGTCCAAAATTAACTGAGAAAATATATCAGCAATGAAACTGGATTTGAGTATTTCTATTATTTAATGTACACATTTAGCCTTTTTTCCATGAACATTTGTGACAAACTGTGTACATTTTCGTGGTGAAAGTAGTTTGAAGGTGTGTGGCGGTCATTTGATCTGTACTTCACTCTCATCAGTTTGAACTCATTTGGCGTGTAGTGAGTTAAAGTCCCGGAGTCTTTAGTGTTTGCTGTGATCTGTAGATGTTCCGCATGTGAGCACTAGATGTCAGCAGTTCTCCTGTGATCAATCTGTGCGTGACGCAATACTGTGCGTGACGCCGCCTCCAAACACACACACACTCACTCACTCACTCACTCACAAACTCACTCACACTCGCACAAACACACACTCGCATACACACTCACACACACTCACACACACACACACACTCTCACTATAACACATACACACACACTCACACACATACACACACACATTCACACACACACACACACTCACACGCTCACACACACACTCTCTCACTCACACACACTCTCTCACTCACACACACTCTCTCACTCACACACACTCTCTCACTCACACACACACACA